CGAGCAGGGAACGCGTAACTGGTGCTCTGCCGCGTCTTCTCCTTCAGACCCCCGGCCCGCACCCTGCCCGCCCGCTCCTGCCTGCTTTGGCCTTGCTGCCGGTGCCACCGAAACGCGCCTCCAGCTGCTGGCAACGCAGGTGCCGATTCATCTCCGGTCCTCACAGCCCCAAAAGGCGCAGGGGCCCCGCAGTGGGGGCCCGTTGACTCTGGTCTTCTGGTGCCCTGCTCGGGTGAAAGCTCCACCACACATCAGCTTCGGCAGCAACGCCAGTTTTCGGGATCCCCGGCTTCACTCCTCCCACTCGCCCTCAGGAGCTGCCTAGCTCTCTGGGGCCCTGCACACGCTGGATTCACAGCCTGATCCAGGTGAAACATCACCGTTTTTCCTGTGTTTTTTGTTTGGTTTTGGGTTTTTTTTACCAGATCCGTGTAGCTACCTCAGGAGGTTTGTTGCTGACTTCATGGGGACAGGACACACTATGCTTCTGCGCGGGGCCAAAAGGAATGTGGTGTTGGCAAAAGGTGATAATAAAATTACCACTGAGAGAAAAAAAAAAACCAAACCAAACATTAAAGTGTAGAACAGTCTTTTCTGAGTCCTCCTCCCCATACCCATCTTCCCTTGAGATGTGATCCAGCACTGGGAAAAGCAGTGGTAGTGATCATGATGCACTAGGAGGGAGTTCTAGCATACTGTAAAACAATATCGTAGGAACGTGAGAAATCAGTTTTATCTGTCAGCACCACGTATTTACTGTGTGTGTTTCATTAGCTGCTCAGTATTCCTTGGCAGCCAGACATGTTGCCCAAAGGCACGGATGAGTTTGCAGCCAGTACCAGATTTTGCAACCAGAACAGACACTCTGCCACGGGGATGCATCACCTCACAGCTTCCCGGGGAAGGGCTGTGCCACGGGGCATTGCTGCCTCGGGAGCCGACATAGTAAAATCACAGAGAGATGAACTGAGCCTGCATCTAGTCAGACGAACCCTCTCCGGCTGCCAGGGATGGAGGATGCTGGCAGATCCCATTCCTGTGCACAACGAGCACTGTGGCAGCTCCCTGCCTGCTCTGCCCTTGGCGGTCCCCCACCAGACTCAGCGCTCAGGTGGGCTTTCCCTCCCCAGCCTCAGCTCTCTGTCCCCGCCAAGCCAAGGAGATGCTGTCAGGGCTTTCTGCCCCTTTGCACTGCTGGCAGGGACTGTGATCCAAGTCCCCGAGCTCCCGGTGGTAGAAGAGGGAAAGACAAATGCAGTGTCCAAGGCCATCCTTGCCAATGTCCCCCGTTAAGGTCAAGGTGACTTTGCTGCTCGCTCAGTTGCAGCCTTTGCTCAGAGTGCCCAGAAGGCACCCGTGGGTGGCAGGGACAGGGTAAAGCTCTGAAGATACTGGTATCAAACTAGGTTTTCAGGCTCCACATCTGTGTTTTGCTGGGACTCACAGAATTATCATCAAGGTTGGAAAAGCCCTTAAAGCTCTTCCAGTCCAACCATGAACCTCACCCTGACCATTCCCAACTCCACCAAACTCTTCAACCCCTCCAGGGATGGGGACTCCCCCCCTGCCCTGGGCAGCCCATTCCAACGCCCAACAACCCCTTCTGCACAGAAATCCTTCCTCAGAGCCAGCCTGACCCTGCCCTGGCACAGCTTGAGGCCATTCCCTCTTGTCCTGGTGCTGGTTCCTTGGTTCAAGAGACTCATCCCCCCTCTCTGCACCCTCCTGTCAGGGAGCTGTAGAGGGCCAGGAGGTCTCCCCTCAGCCTCCTCTTCTCCAGACTAAGCCCCCCCAGTTCCCTCAGCCGCTCCCCATCAGACCTGTGCTCCAGACCCTGCCCCAGCTCCGTTGCCCTTCTCTGGACATGCTTGAGTCATTCAATGGCCTTTTTGTAGTGAGGGGCCCAAAACTGAACACAGTCATCAAGGTGTGGCCTCACCAGTGCTGAGTGATACTCCCTGTGCCATTGCTGGCCCATGGACTGAGTGAGCAGCTGTGCCAATCCTGCCTGGAGCTCAGACTCCTGGGTTTCTCCCCCCTGTCATGGACAAGGCAGGCAGAGCTTACCTGAGGCCTGAGCTGCCCATGGCCCATCCCCTGCCCTAGCCACTGCTGGGGAAACCGCCTGCTCACAGGAACGCACCAGACAACCTCATCTGAGCTTGGCACTGACCCAGCTTTGAGCAGGGGCTGGAGGAGAAACCTCCCGAGGCGCCCACCAGCCTGAGCTCTAAACCTTGGCAGCCCCCCTCTGAGTCAGAGAGTGCTGAGACCCCCAGAGATCCAGGCCCTCAGTCTCCTCACCTGAAACAGCCAAGAACTGATGGATCTGAAGTTGGTGGGCATACCTGGACATCTGGTAGCACGTGCTCTGGTCCCAGAGGCTGATTCAGAGCTCCTGGTGCTAAGGCAAAACCACTCCCTGCCTCCATACTGTGGGCTTAGCTTAGGTCTCACTCTGTATCACAGCGCAAAACAGAAGGTGTTAGCAGCATGTCACCCCCACCGCCCTGCTGAACAATTAACTGATTTACCAAAATTGGAGATGAAGGGCTGCAAGCTTCTTTTGTCACCGGTGCCTGCGTAAACATTAACCCTGGTGTAAATCAGGATTATCTCTCTGACCTCAACACAATTACTCTGTTTAAAAAAAAAACAAAAAAACAACACCTGGGAGGGAGGAAATTGTGGATGAGTTTACAGCTCCCTGTGCAGTTGGGCTCGTTTTCACCATGTGGCAGTTGCTCAGCACAGCAGGAGCAGCCAGGGGAGAATTTGCTGGTAGGGGCAGAGGTGTCCCACAGCCTCGCAGCCCAGCGCACTCCCTCTGCTCACCTAGGCATGGTGACGCAGGGGATGACCCTGCCTGGAGCCACAGGCCGGCTTACATGGGCCTGGCGTGGTAGTGATGCTAGGGTCTGATGCAATTTTGTGCTGTCCAGAGGTTGCTCTGCGGGCCGGGATAGAGCAAGGATCAGGAGATGGCATTGTCCAGACAAGCTGGGCTGACTCTCAGGATTTAGTTCAATGTGTTTGTTCAGGAGGAAGAGCTGTGCTTGTTAGGTATCAGGCTTTAAAAAGCATTTCATGGCGCTGTTGTTGTGGCCCCTTGGAGCCCGCAGACAAGACTTTAGTCTTGTTTAGGCACTGCCGTTGGTGGGCCGGGTGCTGGCAACCCATGAGCTTGCAGCACGCTCAGGCATTGCGCAGGCAGAGCTGTGCCGCAGCGGGGTCTGTGGGGAAGGGCATTTCCCTGCCTGAATGGAGCCAGTTCTGCCAGAGATGCATCCCAGAGGCATTGCCTGCAGAGACAACCCTGCAGTGCCCAGGGAGATGTGCTCTGCCAGCGCATCCTGGCAGCCTGGTGCTTTGCCAGTGAACTCCAGCAGCTCCCTCCTTCCATGCAGTGATTCCACCGCTCAGTAAAGCAGCTCAGCCCCAGAATGACCAAACTTCCCTGGCCTGCCACTGCTCCAGAGTGGGAACGAAACTTTCCTGCTGGACATGGGAGAAAAACTGTAGGGAATGTGGAACCAGGGAGGCTGGAAACAAGCAGCAGGGCAGCGTGTCACAGGCTGCACAGAAAACCGTCCCCTGCTGCCTGGGGTGGCAAGGTGGCCTCCTAGTCCAGTGGCCCCCGGGCACAGGCAGCCGCGGAGCAGCGGGAGAAGCAGGCACAGCCCCTCGGCCAGCTGAAATACCCCCGGGTGGGGGCCAGGTTCCCACCGGGGATACTCGTGGGGGCGAAGCAGAGGTGCTGAGCACATGGCCCCGCAGAGGGGCCTGTGGCCACTGTGTGTGTGTCTGTATGTGTGTGTGTGTCTCTGTGTGTCTGTATCTCTGCGTGTGTGCGTGTGTCCGTGTGTGTGTCCATGTGTGTGTCTATGTGTGTGTGTCCGTGTGTGTGTGTCCGTGTGTGTGTCCATGTGTGTGTCTCTGTGTGTGTGTCCGTGTGTGTGTGTCCATGTGTGTGTGTCTCTGTGTGTGTGTCCATGTGTTTGTGTGTCCATGTGTGTGTCTCTGTGTGTGTGGCCATGCGTGTGTGTGTGTGTGTGTGTGTGTGTGTGTCCGTCCACGTGTGTGTGTGTGTGTGTGTGTGTGTGTGTCCGTCCACGTGTGTGTGTGTGTGTGTGTGTGTGTG